GGCTCTGTTTAAGAGCCGAGTTGCCCAAGCGCTACCGGCTTCGGGCAGCCCCCGTGCCTCCGGACCCTGCGCCACCGGAGCCCGGGCAGGGAAGTGCCCGCCCAGCGGCTGGGGTCCGGAGGCAAGGGGGCTGCCTGAAGCCCATAGCGCTCGGGCAGCTCGGCTCTTAAACAGAGCCGAAGAGTCAGGGGAGGAGCAGAGCCGCCATTTTCCCGGACATGTTCGGCTTTTTGGCAATTCCCCCCGGACGGGGGTTTGAGTGCCGAAAGCCGGACATGTCCGGGAAAAAGAGGACGTATGGTAACCCTAAACTGTGCTGACTTATACATTAAGAATAGCAGTGTCCCTCAACACGTGGTCACTGATTATTAATTGGAAAGGATATAGTTACTTCTTTTACACAATGTTTTCCTCCCAGTGCTTTAATGGCTCCTGCAGTTCCGGCATACGGCCATTTCCCACCTTCCTCTTCTTCATGTCCCACAGTAACTTCAGCACCAGAGAGTACTTTTGCTGCCAACACTGGTGAAATGCAGCACAGGCTGCAAGAAAAATAGAAAAGGTTACTCCAATGAGACTACTACTTAAAAGGATTAATTATAATTATGAAGATTCAAATGCATACATGTATTTAAAGATCATAATGTCAAACATGAAAAGGTAATTTCTTTCATCATCAGGCTTTTCCTGGGAAGCAAGGTAAACATTTTCTTAGCTGGACTTCTCTTTCTTCCTACCATCTTGAAAAAAGATTATTTTTTTTAATTAACCAGTAATAAATGCAAGGCTGAATACATTTTTTCTAGCTCAAAGACTAACATCCACCAACTTATCTAGAATTTGCTTTATCTCTGCTCTGATATAAATTATCAACTACACAACAGTACTTTTAATTGCTCCTCTAAATATACCATACCCAATGCACCTAGAATGTACATACCCAATGGGTTTCCCAGCTTTGTGGAACTCCTTCAGGACACGTTCAACCTCTCCATTCACTTTGCAATCCTTCCCATCCACAGCAAAGGTGGAACTGCCACAACAAGACGCTTTCATTAACACCTCAATATAATGCTATGACTTTATACGTGCACGCTCAGAGCAGCTCTCAATGGACGTCAAAAATGGAAAGTGGATACGAACTCTTCACCGTGTCAAGTAACAAATCATAAACCACAAATGTAAGTACTAAGCGTTACCAAATCAGGCTTCTAACATTTTGCAGAAACAGTACAGCAATGCTACCAGATTTTCAGATCATTACCAGAACAGAAAAAATAATTTCTTATGACGACACATCAAGGAACATCCTAGAAGAAGCCATTTCATAGAATCACAGAACCACAGGGTTAGAAGGGACCACACAAGGGTCATCTAGTCTAACCCTCTGCCATGATGCAGGATTTGTTACGACTAAACCATCCAAGACAGATGGTTAAAAAAAAAAAAAAAAAAGGAGTTTCACTAGGCTAATCCATGAACTTTTTGAAAGGAAATTATTTAGTGATTAGTTTAATACTATCCCAACACTTTCTATATAGACTCAGGCAGAAAGAAATAAGAGCAAGATACTGGAGATGATCTAAAATTAAAAGTTTTATAATCTTCACGTCCCTCCATCATGCCCCAAAAATCACCATCACAGAGAAAGGAAAGGGTTTTTTTTAATGTGGTGTGTAAGCACGAGAACTGCTGCCTAGTTTTGGTGGGAAATTTTTCAGTGTGGAATTTGCAGATTACAAAATGCCACTCGAACAATAATAAGAATCTCGTAGGGAAACCCCCGCCCACCCATCCATGTGCAGCACTGAAAATGTTATCCCATGGGAATCCCCAAACAATTTGAAAGAAGCCTTCCTTAACTCCAAAGGCTCTCAACCTTTCCCAACTACTGTACCTCTTACAGGAGTCCGATTTGTCTTGCGTACCTTCAAGTTTCTCCTCACTTAAAAACTACTTGCTTACAAAATCAGATATAAAAATACAAAAATGTCGCAGCACACTACTACTGACAAATTGCTTACTTTCTCCTTTTTACCATATAATTATGACTAGGGCTGTCAAGTGATTAAAAAATTAATCGGGATTAATCGCACTGTTAAACAATAATAGATTACCATGTATTTAAATATTTTTGGATGTTTTCTACATTTTCAAATATATTGATTTCAATTACAACACAGAGTACAAAGTGTACAGTGCTCACTTTATATTAGTATTTTTGATTACAAATATTTGCACTGTAAAAACAAAATATAGTATTTTTCAATTCACCTAATACTAATACTGTAGTGCAATCTCTTTATCATGAAAGTTGAACTTACAAATGTAGAATTATGTACAAAAAAAACTGCATTCAAAAATAAAACAATGTAAAATTTTAGAGCCTGCAAGTCCACTCAGTCCTACTTCTCGTTCAGCCAATTGTTCAGACAAACAAGTTTGTTTACATGTGCAGAAGACAATGTTGCCGACTTCTTGTTTACAATATCACCTGAAAATGAGAACAGGCGTTCAAATGGCACTGTTGTAGCTGGCATCGCAAGATATTTATGTGCCAGATGCGTTAAAGATTCATATGTTTCTTCGTGCTTCAATCACCATTCCAGAGGACATGCGTCCATGCTGATCACGATTTCTGCTCGATAACAATCCAAAGCAGTGCGGACCGATGCATGTTCATTTTCATTATCTGAGTCAGATAGCACCAGCAGCAGGTTGATTTTCTTTTTTGGTGGTTTGGGTTCTGTAGTTTCCGCATCGGAGTGTTGCTCTTTTAAGACTTCTGAAAGCATGCTCCACACTTTGTCCCTCTCAGATCTTGGAAAGCACTTCAGATTCTTAAACCTTGGGTCAAGTGCTATAGCTATCTTTAGAAATCTCACATTGGTACCTTCTTTGCGTTTTGTAAAATCTGCATTGAAAGTGTTCTTAAAATGAACAACATGTGCTGGGTCATTATCCGAGACTGCTATAACATGAAATATATGGCAGAAGGCGGGTAAAACAGAGCAGGGGACATACAATGTTCCCCCAAGGAGTTCAGTTACAAATTTAATTAACACATTTTTTTAACGAGCTTCAGCAGCATGGAAGCATGTCCTCTGGAAAGGTGGCCAAATCATGAAGGGGTATACGAATGTTTAGCATATCTGTCACGTAAATACCTTGCAATGGCAGCTACAAAAGTGCCATGTAAACACCTGTTCTCACTTTCTGGTGACACTGTAAATAAGAAGCAGGCAGCATTGGGGGAGGGATAGCTCAGTGGTTTGAGCATTAGCCTGCTAAACCCAGGGTTGTGAGTTCAATCCTTGAGGGGGCCACTTAGGGATCTGAGGCAAAAATCAGTACTTGGTCCTGCTAGTGAAGGCAGGGGGCTGGACTCGATGACCTTTCAGGGTCCCTTCCAGTTCTAGGGGATCGGATCGGATATCTCCATATATTATCTCCTGTAAATGTAAACAAACTTGTTTGTCTTAGCGATTGGCTGAACAAGAAGTAGGACTGAGTGGACTTGTAGGCTCTGAAGTTTACATTGTTTTGTTTTTGAGTGCAGTTATATAACAAGAAAATTGACATTTCTAAATTGCACTTTCACGACAAAGAGATTGCACTACAGTACTTGTACGAGGTGAATTGAAAAATATTATTTCTCTTGTTTATCATTTTCACAGTGCAAATATCTGTAATAAAAATAATATACACTTTGATTTCATTTACAACATAGAATACAATATATATGAAAATGTACTGTGATAGACCCAGACCAGTTGGGAACAGCAGAGTAGCAGAAGGGAGATATACTGGCCACTGGATAAGTAGTTTTCTGTTCCCTAAGTGACCAGAGCAGGGGCTGCTCCAGGCTAATAGACCACCTGACTCCAATTAACCTGCTAAGAGTCAAGTGAGGCAGTTAAGCACCTGACTCTAATTAAGGCCCCTCTGATGCTATAAAAGGGCTCACTCCAGTCAAACCAGGAGGAACCAGAGGAGAGGAAGTGGGTGTGAGGAACTGGGAGCAAGAGGTGTGCAAGAAGCTGAGAGTGAGTAGGCGTACTGCTGGAGGACGGAGAAGTACAAGCGTTATCAGACATCAGGAGGAAGGTCTGGTGGTGAGGACAAAGAAGGTGTTGGGAGGAGGCCATGGGGAAGTAGCCCAGGGCGTTGTAGGTGTCGTGCAACTGTACCAGGAGGCACTCTAAACAGCTGCAGTCCACAGGGCCCTGGGCTGGAACCCGGAGTAGAGGGCAGGCCCGGGTTCCCCCCATACCTCCCAACTCCTGATCAAACACAGGAGGAATTGACCTGGACTATAGCTTCTACCAGAGGGGAAGGTCTCTGGCCTGTTTCCTGACCCACAGGGTGAATCTGTGAAGCGAGCAAATCCGCCAATAAGCGCAGGACCCACCAAGGTAGAGGAGGAACTTTGTCACAGTACATAAACATCCAAAATATTTAATAAATAGAATACCAATTGAAATTTAACAGTGTGATTAAAACTGCGATTAATCGTGATTAATTTTGTTAATTGCGATTAATTTTGAGTTAATCGCGTGAGTTATCTGCGATTAATCGACAGCACTAATTATAACATGAATCAATTGGAATATAAATATTGTACTTTCATTTCAGTGTATAGTATATAAATCAGTATAAATAAGTCATTGTCTGTATGAAATTTTAGTTTGTACCAACTTCACTAGTGCTTTTTACGTAGCCTGTTGTAAAACTAGGCAAATTTCTAGATTAGTTGATGTACCCCCTGGAAGACCTCCGCATACCCCTTGTTGAGAACCACTGGGGTATACTATGTAAACTAACACTTTGTAAAAAGGCCACTGTCTGAATTATGAATAAAGGATTTCTGTATCACTTTACTTAGCTTGGCACTCACAGGTTTTTAGCAGCTCCGAATCCACCAGGGAATATCACAGCATCATGGTCCTTTGTACTAAGTTTAGCCAGGTCTGTGATTTTACCACGAGCAATCCTTGCTGATTCCACTAAAACGTTTCTTGAAGAACAAGAAATGAAGCAATAAGAGTAATGAAGCCAGTGCATGCACAAGTGTGGTGAAACTGTGTAAGAGAAGGGTGTTATTTTTGAAGAGTCAAAAATAATGACCCTGAATAACTACAGCTAAAGCTGCTTCTGAAATAGAACTGGAATATACAGTACCCATGAGCAAGGAGTGGGATAAGGTTTTAGGTGTCAGCCACAAGACAAAGAATCTAAGTTTTTCTCACATACAAAATTATTAGTTGGCATAAAGTTAAATACTTCGGGAAAATTGCTGCTAGTAAATATTTAACATAGGGCATAACTTCTGCAGCACATCCCTGTGGCACAAGCTCAAGAAGCTGGAGTCATCTTGTGCAAATTAAATGTAGCTCTTACCTTGATTCAGCCTCAGCTGGTTGTCCTTTGCTGTGGTCAATAACATGCATCTGAGGAATATCTGGGGCATACATCTGAACTTCAGCTCCCCCACGACTCAGGTGAACCAAAATGCTACAAAATAGGTAAAAATATGATGAAAGCCTTAGAAGAGAGGGAGTCTTTAAGGAACCAATTACAGCAGGTTTTTATCTGGATCTGTGTCCTACCAGAAATATATTACGTGTTTTGGAAAACAGTACTGACAAAGTAGCATACAAAATGACCACAAAGTGTCAGTTTTTAGAGAATGTATAGGATAGTGCTCCCCAAACTATGGGGTGCGCCCCCCCAAGGGGGTGTGGAGGAACATTCAGGGGGATGCATGCAGCAGGACCTGGGCCAATGCCCACGGGGAGTGGGAGGGAGCACTATCTAGCCCAGCTCCGGCTCTAGCCACAGCTCCTCCCCCATTCCCAGTTCTGCCCCCACCTCCGCCTTCAGCACACGTGTTCCTCTGCTGAGCCAACTGTGCAGTAATGGGGGGGGGGAGGCATAGACAGAGTCCATTACTGGTAAGGGGAGGGGTGCGACAGGAAAAGCTTCAGCACCACTCTATAGGGCATTTATTATAGTCTGTCAAGGGGGGAAAGTGAGATGGAAGACTAGATGAGCTGCAGATGTTACTTAAACCCCTTTGATTGCTGTGTTATCTACTCCTGTTACAGAAACCAGTACAGTCTTCCTTCAGAACTGTAAGAAGAGTCCAAAAGTCTCACGAAAGGATATTAAGATCAATGTCCCATTATCTGGTATACAGTGCGATAGGTCAAACTCAATCTGAACATTAACAATCCTGGCACTGGAACTTGGCCCAGGGAGGTGATTAGGAAACAAGTGAAGTCTATGGTCATGCTTCCTGAGCTGGAAATGCTAGAGCAGCAGCTAGCTCTTGGGAGAGGATTGTCTACCAATAGCTCATCACACGCTAAGCCAGAGCGGTGGTGATGGAGTCTGCCCACTCCTCCTCAGCTGGAAGCATGCAATATGAGAATTTACGGAGGACCATAAAGCTGAGACAAAATGGTGGATTTTCATGGGGTATGGAAAGAACCAACCCTGGGAGAAAACCACACACCATCCAGGCTCTTCCAGGGTAGTACCGACAACCCTGGGAAACTGCAAATTAATTAAATAGAATAAAATGCTCTAATCATGTGAAGAATACAGTTCTGGACTCTGCAATAATGCAAAGCTGCTTACGCTGAGGCCTCATGGATTTCTGTACCATCATACACACCACATCCAGACAAGACCTGCAAAGAGAAAATCAACACAATATTTCAGACAAAATATGTATTTTCCAGACTGTCTTTAAGGGTCTTGCACAAGCATTTGGGGATAAAGCAATTGCAGCTGCACCCTTATCAAACAAAACAGATAGTGGCCTCAGTACTGATGGGTTACACAAGAACTGGGATGTCCTATTTATAGTAGCTTGTTCCATAGATTCATAGATTCTAGGACTGGAAGGGACCTCGAGAGGTCATCGAGTCCAGTCCCCTGCTCGCATGGCAGGACCAAATACTGTCTGGACCATCCCTGATAGACATTTATCTAACCTACTCTTAAATATCTCCAGAGATGGAGATTCCACAACCTCCCTAGGCAATTTATTCCAGTGTTTAACCACTCTGACAGTTAGGAACTTTTTCCTAATGTCCAACCTAGACCTCCCTTGCTGCAGTTTAAGCCCATTGCTTCTTGTTCTATCCTCAGAGGCTAAGGTGAACAAGTTTTCTCCCTCCTCCTTATGACACCCTTTTAGATACCTGAAAACTGCTATCATGTCCCCTCTCAGTCTTCTCTTTTCCAAACTAAACAAACCCAATTCTTTCAGCCTTCCTTCATAGGTCATGTTCTCAAGACCTTTAATCATTCTTGTTGCTCTTCTCTGGACCCTTTCCAATTTCTCCACATCTTTCTTGAAATGCGGTGCCCAGAACTGGACACAATACTCCAGCTGAGGCCTAACCAGAGCAGAGTAGAGCGGAAGAATGACTTCTCGTGTCTTGCTCACAACATACCTGTTAATACATCCCAGAATTATGTTTGCTTTTTTTGCAACAGCATCACACTGTTGACTCATATTTAGCTTGTGGTCCACTATAACGCCTAGATCCCTTTCTGCCGTACTCCTTCCTAGACAGTCTCTTCCCATTCTGTATGTGTGAAACTGATTTTTTCTTCCTAAGTGGAGCACTTTGCATTTGTCTTTGTTAAACTTCATCCTGTTTAATTCAGACCATTTCTCCAATTTGTCCAGATCATTTTGAATTATGACCCTGTCCTCCAAAGCAGTTGCAATCCCTCCCAGTTTGGAATCATCCGCAAACTTAATAATCGTACTTTCTATGCCAATATCTAAGTCGTTAGTGAAGATATTGAACAGAGCCGGTCCCAAAACAGACCCCTGCGGAACCCCACTCGTTATGCCTTTCCAGCAGGATTGGGAACCATTAATAACAACTCTCTGAGTACGGTTATCCAGCCAGTTATGCACCCACCTTATAGTAGCCCCATCTAAATTGTATTTGCCTAGTTTGTCGATAAGAATATCATGCGAGACCGTATCAAATGCCTTACTAAAGTCTAGGTATACCACATCCACAGCTTCTCCCTTATCCACAAGACTTGTTATCCTATCGAAGAAAGCTATCAGATTGGTTTGACATGATTTGTTCTTTACAAATCCATGCTGGCTGTTCCCTATCACTTTACCACTTTCCAAGTGTTTGCAGATGATTTCCTTAATTACTTGCTCCATTATCTTCCCTGGCACAGAAGTTAAACTAACTGGTCTGTAGTTTCCTGGGTTGTTTTTATTTCCCTTTTTATAGATGGGCACTATATTTGCCCTTTTCCAGTCTTCTGGAATCTCTCCCGTCTCCTATGATTTTCCAAAGATAATAGCTAGAGGCTCAGATACCTTCTCTATTAACTCCTTGAGTATTCTAGGATGCATTTCATCAGGCCCCGGTGACTTGCAGGCATCTAACTTTTCTAAGTGATTTTTAACTTGTTCTTTTTTTATTTTATCTGCTAAACCTACCCCCTTCCCATTAGCATTCACTATGTTAGGCATTCCTTCAGATTTCTCGGTGAAGACCGAAACAAAGAAGTCATTAAGCATCTCTGCCATTTCCAAGATTCCTGTTACTGTTTCTCCCTCTTCACTAAGCAGTGGGCCTACCCTGTCTTTGGTCTTCCTCTTGCTTCTAATGTATTGATAAAAAGTCGTCTTGTTTCCCTTTATTCCCGTAGCTAGTTTGAGCTCATTTTGTGCCTTTGCCTTTCTAATCTTGCCCCTGCATTCCTGTGTTGTTTGCCTATATTCATCCTTTGTAATCTGTCCTAGTTTCCATTTTTTATATGACTCCTTTTTATTTTTTAGATCATGCAAGATCTCGTGGTTAAGCCAAGGTGGTCTTTTGCCACATTTTCTATCTTTCCTAACCAGCGGAATAGCTTGCTTTTGGGCCCTTAATAGTGTCCCTTTGAAAAACTGCCAACTCTCCTCAGTTGTTTTTCCCCTCAGTCTTGATTCCCATGGGACCTTACCTATCAGCTCTCTGAGCTTACCAAAATCCGCCTTCCTGAAATCCATTGTCTCTATTTTGCTGTTCTCCCTTCTACCCTTCCTTAGAATTGCAAACTCTATGATTTCATGATCACTTTCACCCAAGCTGCCTTCTACTTTCAAATTCTCAACGAGTTCCTCCCTATTTGTTAAAATCAAGTCTAGAACAGCTTCCCCCCTAGTAGCTTTTTCAACCTTCTGAATTAAAAAGTTGTCTGCAATGCAGTCCAAGAATTTGTTGGATTCAGGCAAATGGCTCAGCAGTTACTACTGATTTGAAAAGCAAAAAGTATTTTGCATTTTTCTCAGACTTGAAAAACTGACACATTGTTTTAAAATGTGATGGCAGTCACAAAAGTGGCTAAAAATAATATTATGAGCTTTCATGCTCCTAAGATATGTAAAGAGGGTGATCTTACATATAATGGAATATATTCAGACCTTGATGCATACATAAACTTTTCATTCAAACAGAAGGGAGTTAAAAAGCGCACCTCAAAAGTCAGAATTTATGACACTCTATTTTACCTGTTACATTACTCTTATTCTTAGGATCCATATCAGAGATTAATGGCTAAGTCATTTTTTAAAATCTAAGTACACTAAATAGCTCAACTGAATTTCCCTTATTAGCCATGGGAACAGTGCTTTCAAATAACCCCAAACTGTTAGCTAAGTGTGTCCTCCCATGTCTGAATCTAGCCTGGCTATTACTGAAGAACAGTGGAACTTAAGGAGATTAGAGAAAATAATGTTCCCCAATTTCTGCAGTTTGTTTACTTTGTGCATTTGACACACTGGGCGTATAGTCAGTTTTCCTTGTTTGTGTGGTTCTTTTAGACAGCAACAAAAAAAGAGAGAGAGAGATTTTAAAAATAGGGAAATTGTGACTGTAAAGACACAAAAAATTCCCAGGGCATTTGTACTTCCTGAAACTATTTTAAATTCGTGCTTTAAACAGTGACTAGGTTTCCAATTGGCAGTGTCCCTTTAACAACTCTACTTTCTTAACCCAAGCTCTCCCCTCATTTTTAAGCAGCTTAGTGGGTGCATTATCAGTTATCCATTGCATGCATATTTTATATATATTTAAAGCTTCTTGTTATTTAAGATGCTCTGTGCAATTTACCTCTTTAGATTTTATTTTTACAACCTGTCAAGTTTCCTCTTTCCCAGTTTCTTTTGTAATTTTAATGCCCTCTGGTTCCCTTTTATGCGGGTCTGTATTTCCCCACACCAGCACACTGCTTTTGGTTGCCCACTTAGCATTTAAGGTATTATTGGAATGCATTTTGCCCATAGCTTTCCTAACTGTATCTTAAATACTTACCACTGGTGATTTTCCCATTTGGGACTGAATTCCAGCCTATTTTAATTCCCAGTTCCTTTGTACTCTGCTTTTCTGATTATTATTTCTGCTACAGACATCATTTCAACCCTGTTAATATTTAGATAGCTAGCTCCTAGATGTTCTCCAGTTTTAACCTTATTTATCATGGCTTCCTTTCAACTATTAAGTACCAAATAGCTTTTGACCTTATTCACTTCATTAGAGTCTTTACCACCTCCACTAATTTATCTTTCCTTAGGCCCTATGAAATTAGACTGCAGGAGTGAATGCACTGTACAGCTTGGTCTGAAGTGTGTGTACATAAAGTCAAACTATGTCATGGACCAGATTAAATAAAATAAAGTTTCAGCTCAGGCAGAGAGTACTGTAAAGTGACATATATATATTAACTAACTGTTGGTATCCGTTTAATAGCCCACACATCCTCTCTCAGGAGACTCTCTTCCGCTTGTCTCTAAACTGTCAAGTCAAGTGCAAAAGTATAATTAGGCAGGCCAGGAAAGAATTTGAAGAACAACTAGCTAAAGACACAAAAACGAACAGCCAAAAAATGGTTATGTACATCAGACACAGGAAGCCTGACAAAAGTCAGTGGGGCCACTGGACAATCGGGGTGCTAAAGGAGCACTCTAGGAACACAAGGCCATTGCAGAGAAGCTAAATGAATTCTCTGCATCCGTCTTCACTGCAGAAGATGTGAGGGAGATCTCCACACCCATCCATTCTTTTCAGGTGATGGATCTGAGAAGTCAATACAGGAGATTTTGGAACAAACCGATAAATTAAACAGTAATAAGTCACTGGGACCAGATGGTAGTCAACCAAGAGTTCTGTAGAAACTCAGATATGAAATTGCAGAACTACTAACTGTGGTATGTAATCTATAGCTTCAAGCTGTACAAGATGACTGGAGGGTAGCTAATGTAATGCCCATTTTTAAAAAAGGCTCCAGAGGTAATCCTGGCAATTAGAGGCTGGTAAACCTAACTTCAGTACCAGGCAAATTGCTTGAAACTACAATAAAGAACAGAATTATCAGACACATGGATAAACACAATATGTTGGGGAAGTGTCTTTTGTAAAAAGAAGTCATGCATCACCAATCTATTAGAATTTTTTGAGGGTGTCAATAAGCATATGGACAAAGGAGATCCAATCAATATGGGGAGTAAACTTTCAGAAAGCCTTTGACAAGGTCATCACCAAAGGCTCTTAAGCAAACTAAGCAGTCATGGGATAAGAGGGAAGGCCCTCTCATGGCAGTAACTGGCTAAAAGATAGAAAACAAAGTGTAGGAATAAATGGTTGGTTTTCACAATGGAGAGAGGGAACTAGAAGGGACCCCCAGAATCTGTACTGTGACCAGTGCAGTTCAATATATTCATAAATGATCTAAGAAAAGGGCAGCGAACAGTGTGGTGGCAAAATGTGGAGATGATACAAAATTAACTATCTTGGCCCAAGATTCTTGGGCAAGTTCAAAGCTGACTGCTAAGATTACAAAGGGATCTGACAAAACTGGGCGACCAGGCAACAAAATAGCAGATGAAATTCAGTGTCGAAAAGTGCTAAGTAACACATACTGGGAAAAATAATCACAACTATACATACAGAACAATGGGGTCTAAATTAGCTGTTACCACTCAAGAAAGAGATCTTAGACTCATCATGGCTAGTTCTCTGAAAATTTTCACTCAATGTGCAGCGGCAGTTAAATAAGTTAACAATATTAGATATCACTAGGAAAGGTGTAGACAAAAAAACAGAAAATATCATATAGCCACTATATAAATCCATGGTATGCTCACACCCTGAATACTGCATGCAATTATGGTAACACAATCTCAAAAAAGATGTATTAGAATTGGAAAAGGTGCAGAGAAGGGCAACAAAGATGACTAGGGGTATGCAACAGCTTCCATATGAGGAGAGATTAAAAAGAGTGGAACTGTTCAGCTTAGAAAAGAGATGACTAATGAGGGATATGATAGAGGTCTATAAAATGAATGGTGTGGAAAAGGTGAATAGAAAAGTATTACTTACTCCTTCACATAACACAAGAACTAGGGACCCAATTAAATTAATAGGAAGCAGTTTAAAAACAAACACAAGGAAGTTCTTTTTAACACAACAAACAGTCAACCTGTGCAAATCATTGCCCAGAATGCTGTGAAGGCTAAAAGTATAACTGAATTTAAAAAAGAATTAGATCTACTGTATTCATGGAGGATAGGTCCATCAATGGCTACTAGCCAAGATGGTCAAGGATGCAACCCCATGCTCTTGAGGCCCCTAAACTTCCAACTACCAGAAGCTGGGCCTGGATGACGGGATGGATCACTTAAAATTGCCCAGCTTTGTTCATTCCCTCTGAAGCACCTGGCCTGGGCCAGAAGACAGGCTGCTGGGTTGAATGGACCATTGGTCTGCCCCAGTATGGCCGTTATTATATTCTTAAACATTAAGCCCTGTGTTGATACAGCAGTACCTGGAGTGGGTATCCTAACAGGGGAGCGGCAGAACACTTCAGCTCCAGGACTGTGTTTGGTGGGTGGCCAGTCTCCTTCAACTAGCATTACCCTTTCCACTGGCTTAAAAACCAGATAAACTCCACTCATCTCAAAGATTCCAGCTGGGTCACCAGCTGCAGAGCAAGATCTAAGGATAAGGAGGCAACTAACCCCGCGCTCAGCACACGCCACAGCCCAGGCCAAGCAGAGGACCCAGGTACAGAAGCAGGCAGTGAGAGAGTTTCACTTTGGAGTTATAACCCGCCCGGGGGGGCTCTGCGCAGTTCTCTGGAGCTCCCCACGTGGAAAACGCCTCCCCCCAGCATGGGCTGCGGTCCCCAGCCTGGAGCCCAGGGCCGCCTGTTTGCAAGTGGCGCTAAGCCCTGCTACGGGGCGCAGCGCTGCCTGAGCCCCCCGGGCCGGGCTGTACTCACCACGGCCACGCGGGCCCCGCGCAGGCGGCGGGCGGAGCTGTGGAGGGAGGCTAGCCCGCTCGGGGCCGCCCGCAGCAGCCGCGCCGCCAGCATGGCCGGGCTCAGGGGAGCGGGTCGGGGAGGCGCGGGCTGGACTCGCCGCAGGGGCCCGGGCGCCTGGCTGGTGCAGCAGCGAGCCCCGGGACGCGGCAGGCCGGGCCTTGCAGCCGCACAGCGCCGGCTAGAGGCGGGAGGTCCCTGCCCGCTGCTGCGGTGTCTGCTGCTCGGCCGGCGCTGGGGCTGCCGGGCTTCGTCCTCTGCCTGCTCCGTGGTGCCTCCGCTAGGGCCCAGCCCGTAGCCTTCCTACCAACTACAGTACTGCTAGCTCAGCCCGGGTAGCAGCAAGTGCTGTATGCCCAGTGTTTGCAGGATCAGATCCCGAGATCATTGACCGTCCAGACCTGCCTTTGCAAAAAGTACTGGATGAATGTAGCGAATGTTAATAATTATTCACATTGAAACTTGCTGCTAACCACCCCTCCTTAAAAAGTGCCCACAACCAAGACAGTTTCATGGGGTTTACTATTAAGCTCAAGTTTGTGTTGCCAGGTTTCATATTTGCTGTTTTCCTTGAAGCCCCAGCTCCTGAAATCATGTACTTACAGACCCCAGCTTTTTGTTTGTTTGTTTTTTAAAACAGAGGTTTCTTGCCCTCTTGGTTGCAGAAAAAAGCTTGAAAACGTTAGCTGAATGTTCCTGCATTGTTCAAAGATTAGAAGACAAATCAAAATCCAAGGATACATTCTTTTTTAAATCTCACAATTTTTGAACACTCAGGGTTTGGTAAAATTATTAGTTCATTATTACAGCTAAAATAAACCCAGGGTATCACAAGCTCATTAGTAGGGTAAATGTGGCACAAAATGATGTGCAGCAAGAGGCAAAGATCACACAGACCAGAGATGTTGGGCCAAATATGTTCAACACCCTCCTCCTCCTCTCAGCCCCTCATGCAGAGGCTCAGGACCTCCTTCACTGCAGCTCCTCTTGTATGAAACATTCTTTTTTCCCCTCTGAAACCAGGAGAATGTCTGTACATTTTGGGGAAAGTCCCTTCAAAATATTCCATGGATATTTTGTTTCTTATGCAGAGAGAGGAAACTCCACAGAGATGCTGCCAAAACCCCCGCAGCTCTTTTTCTCAATTCCTGCTCCTTGAAGTCCAACCTACTGGCTTAAAGATAATACTACTGTACTTATATTTTCCATAACACTTCTCATCAGGAGTTTCAAAGCACTTTACATAAGAGATCAGAAGAGGAAAGTGGGAAGAAAAAACAAACTTGCACCAGTTTAACTAAAGCTATTTTAGACACGTAAATTAGTTTAAACATTTTATTTCAGTTTAAGCATATATGGGTTTAGCTTAAATCTCTTTTTTTCAGGATTAAGATAAAATATACACTCAAAATTAAATAAGCACGTCTACAAAGAAACGTGCATGGATCGAACTAAATTGGGTTAAAAATACACCTTTAAATTGATGCAAGTGTGCGTAGATAAGGTCTGACCCTGCAAAATGTAGCCAAGTGGGTAGCCACATATGCTAGTCTTCACAGGTTCAAGCCCTAAATCCTTTATAGCAGTGGTTCTCAAACTAGGGCTACCGCTTGTTCAGGGAAAGCCCCTGGCAGGCCGGGCCAGTTTGTTTACCTGTCGCGTCCACAGGTTCGGCCGATGGCAGCTCCCACTGGCTGCAGTTCACCGCTCCAGGCCAATGCGGGTTGCAGCCAGCAAGTCCCTCGGCCCGTGCTGCTTTCCGCAGCCCCAATTGGCCTGGAGCGGCGAACCGCGGCCAGTAGGAGCCGCGATCGGCCGAACCTGCGGACACGGCAGGTAAACAAACCGGCCTGGCCCGCCAGGGGCTTTCCCTGAACAAGCGGCGGCCCTAGTTTGAGAGCCACTGCTTTATAGTTGACTGCCCACATTCAAAATTACATAAACTGGGCTAAACCGGAGGAAATATTAGGCCTAATGTGGGGCTTACCAGACTCATTCTGTTCAGGTTTCAGTATCACTTTCATCACCATGCTATATGAGCACTTCACAAAATGTTACTAGACAACTTGGGCGGGACAAAAGTTTATTTTGATAGCTCTGTCTTAGCTCAATTGAGGAATAAGGGAATGGATGGCTGCACCAGCCCCTATGCAGGAGTTGTTGGTGCAGGAGCCGGCTATACGCCTGATAAAAGTACTCCCAGCCCTTCCACAGAGAAATCTGATTTCATTGTGCTGCCTGCGCTGTATAGTTGCACAAAAATACTGCATTTATAAATGTAAATGTTTCTGACATGAGTAATACAAAAGCATAGCTCTCCCTCCGCAGATGTAATCCTTTGTATTACCTTTATGGGCCAAACTTTCAAAACTAACTTCCAAGAACTGCAGGCACACAAATTTAGGGGCAAGATCAAGGCTAGCTTAATAACAATGTGGCTAATATTATATTCACACATTTATTAGATACTATTGAGATAACCGAGGTGGCCTTCCAGTGCTAAGATCCATTTCTAGTAGGTGCTGTGCAAACCCATAGTAAGACAGTTCCCGAAGAGCACACAATCTAGAGATGAGACACACACAAGAAACCATAAGCAATGGGGCAGCAATTATGGGGTAATGTCAGCCTATGTAACCATATGCCGATACTGCTACCATGTAGAACAGGGGTGGCCAACCTGAGCCTGAGAAGGAGCCAGAATTTACCTATGTACGTTGCCAAAGAGCCACAGTAATAAGTCAGCAGCCCCGCATCCGCTCACAGTGCCTCCCACCCACCAGCAGCCCCACCGACCAGTGCCTCCCTCTCCCTCCCCACACCTCCTGATCAGCTGTTTTGTGGCCTGCAGGAGGCTCAGGGGAGGGGGCGGGGAAGGAGCGAGGGCACAGTAGCTCAGGGGAGGGGGCGGGAATGGGGGCAGGGCCTGTGGCAGAGTCGGGGTTGAGCAGTGAGCACCCCCCTGCACACTGGAAAGTTGGCGCCTGTAGCTCCAGCCCCGGAGTCGGTGCCTATACAAGGAGCCACATATTAATTTCTGAAAAGCCGCATGTGGCTCCGGAGCCACAGGTTGGTCACCCTGATGTAGAACTTTATTCTCAATTATGTAAGATTTCATGATTTTAACAGTCCCTAACCACCTATAATCCTTTTGGCTCTCCTAACATTTGCTCTTTCCTCGTTTATTTGATTTCTCCCTTCTATGCAGCCTGTTCTCAACACCAGGGGAGAGGCCCGTAAAACCTGTGTTTGCACTTGATAAAATAAGAGTTTTTTTTTAAAAGAAGAAACAATCCAGAGTGCCATCACTGATGTGTGTCCCCAGCTCTTTCACTCTTTTAATACCTTTTATCTTTTTTTGACATCTTGCAACACAGGCAAGACATGGAGACTCCCAAAAAAAAAAAAAAAAAAAAAAAAAAAAAAAAAGGGGGCAATAAAAACAGCAACGGTGAAAAGATTTTTTTATGATAAACTATCATGTAGGAAGAATGTAAAACACTACCCACCATGGCCAGTGAAGTGAATAGAAATGACTTGTGTCCTGGATAACAGTGGAAGGAAGCAGTCATTCGCAAGAATAAGCATGGAAAAACAGTTTTACACTGGTATATTTATTTACTTCGATCACCAGAGCATACAGTAATATTTATTTTATACAGTTGAGTCATACAAACTGATTTTTTTTCTACATCTAAACATTTTTATGCACATTTTCTCTGTAACAGTTTTCAGTAACCTTTTTGCCAAGTGTTGCCACCAAAACAGAATTCAATAGAAGATCACTTGTGATTGATCCCCATCCGTAATCTGTGAGATATTCTTCACTAATAGAGATCTGTTAATATATTGCATAGGAGACATGCATGTTTTTTCCATACTCAGAATCTCAAAAAAGTAATTAACTGGTGCTCATGTTGACTCACATTTAAAGCAACTGAGAGACCCAAACCTGCAGAATCTGACATCCTAATGAACCCTGGTTGTACTGTTAAAAAAAAAAAAAAAAATACAACAGCTGTCATGTTAAAACGAAAAAAAGAAAAGAAACATTCAGATATTTAATGTTCTGCTGATTTGGTTACATAGTGGTATAAGTTGCATTCAACAGGCTGGAAATTTCTGGACATAAATCTTTACTGCAATACCCTTGATCATTAACCAATTAAATTCCTTGCAGATGCTGTACTACACAGAATCTTTGCTCACATATTTGTTCACACTATGGTATGACATTTATTCCAAATATTTTTCCTTTTTTGGGGTAATATTCAGCTTAAAGTTTGGATAATTTTAGAATTTATAAAATTATTATTATTTTATTAAATGCAACTAGGATAACATTTCGAAATGGAGTTGAGGTCAATATGCAACCCTCCAAATATTTAATGAAAAATGACACACACACACACAAATGATTAAAAAAAGAGTTTAATCCAGGGGCACAGAAATATTGTGACAGCAAAGACTTCAGAGAGTGACTTGCAATGCCTAAAATGCCTGTATATGTATATACATTTTATCAAAAATAAACACACCAAACAATAATTTTACTTGCGCTTTTATCTTTTTTGACAGATGAACACAAGTATCTTCTTGTTTGAGTTCAGATACAAATCTAGCTGATCAGCTTCGTCCTCGCTCCCTCAGTTACGGGAAGAGGGAGGACATAAGCCATGTTTTAGGGACTGTATGGACTACACTTTAGCTATCCTAAATCGAACCAGCTTCTGTATCTTTGCAGATACTCCAAGCCTATATCACAACATATACAAAATAAGCCACTATGAGGGCCACTTAATCTCAGTGAATACCACTGGCGCAAGTGATTGCTTCTGTAGGTCCCCAAAAAACAAAAAGAAATAGGAAAATTAAGGGAAAATAAGTTGTCCTATGAATGCGTGGTTGCCTCTTCCATAAGATAATCGCTGTTATCCTCCAACTCCTCTTCACTCACTGATGTTTCTGCAGGACGTTTCATGCCCCGTTGTTGGGAAATGGCCAAAGCATATTTAATATTATAGCGATTCCACTCACAGCTGTAAAAACAAGTCACCAGAAGAAAAAAACGTTAAATGTTAGGTTCTGCTTCATCTAAGTACATCACCCAAATTTTCCCTCCCAACATTCAATGGCCTTTTGTACAAGACTATGTTTTAAGTTTGAAAAAGATTTAAAGGACAGCAATACGTACAGTTTAGAAACATCTTCAAAGTGACGTTGGATGCTCTTCTGAAGGAACTGAATCAAGGGCAGCAGCTTCCCTGACCTATAAAGGAGAAAGCAAGCAATTAACTGTGTAGCCTGTATTTACACATGGATTTCTAGAATCCCTTTTCAACATTATTCTTCAAAATTAAAAAAAGCCTGTTATATTGTTAGCTCGTTTTTACATATCTATGTTCTAAATCTAAAATATCACTGAATAAAAGCAAGTGACCTTGTAACTTTGTGCTGTGTCCACCAATAAACCTGTGTACAATTTTAGCTCAGTACAACATATGTATGCAATTTATCACTCATGTTGCTTCAGCTGAGCTAGTCAAATGCTTCTCCCTCCCAAGCACCAATGTAAAAGTCAGCCCCAGAAACCATTCCATTCTGAGGTCAAATGGCAACTTTTCCGAGTTGATTCTCTTTGCTATCATGATAATGAAGTTGACTCAAGGTATAAATTCCAGAAAAGCAAGGCAGGAATTTGGACTTCACAAACTATCCACTGCTACTTTGTAACAAAACAAAAGAAAGAATCAGTCTTCCTTGCCATTTCGGATTCATTAAATGATGGCATGATGTGTGAATAACTACTCATTCTTCACCCCACAGCAGCAAGGAAAGGAATACATAATCGCTTCTTACTCAGGTCTACGGTGACTCCCAAATAGTAGTTGAGAAGAGCTGTCAGATTTTTAATTTGCCCAGTGTCTTCATTCCAATTGCCCAAACACTCTACAAGAAAGCTAGGCTGAATGTAAGACTCATAGCTTGTCTAATTGCCTGAAAGGAACTAGGCAGGAATGCAGAATACAGAAATCATTACACTGCTTTCCAAAAAACTAGGGCTGTCAAGTGATTAAAAAAATTAATCCCTATTAGGCACGAGATTAAAAAAATGTAACTCCATTAGTCGCAGTTTTAATCGCACAATTAAATAATAATAGAATACAATTTATTTAAATATTTTTGTAGGTTTTCTATATTTTCAAATATAGGCTAGGGCAGGGGTTCTCAAACTGGGGGTTGGGACCCCTCAGGGGGTTGTGAGGTTATTACATGGCGGGGGGGGGGATCGTGAGCTGTCAGCCTCCACCCCAAACCCCGCTTTGCCTCCAGCATTTCTAATGGTGTTAAATATATTAAAAAGTATTTTTAATTTATTAGAGGGGGTCGCACTCAGAGGCTTGCTATGTGAAAGGGGTCACCAGTACAAAAGTTTGAGAACCACTGGACTAGGGGCTCTGGGCTTCAGTCTTCAGCGCCTCTCGGGGTGCACGGTTCCATCCCGGCTCAGGGCTTCAGGCCTCCCCCGCCCCCAATGCCTCCCTCCCCACCCAGGAGTATGCGATTAATGTGATAATTTTGTTTTCAGTTAATCGCAGGCGTTAACTATGATTAATTGACAGACTACAAAAACATAAGCAAAGTCAGCATGCTTAGGTATGAAGCACTGCCCAACTCGATGTCAATTGCATCAAACGTAAATAATTGTTTAAGAACAGTGTTCCCACAAGTCTTCTTACAGCTCTTTATAGCTTTATGCATTTATTAACTAAAGCTAGAAGTTCAAACAAAGTTCTACCTACAATCTAGGAGAGCCTCCTCTGCAACTTTACTGCAGGAATCATGTTATGTCTCCCAAATACTCACATTTCAACCTATACTGGGGTCAATGGGAAGTCATAATAATCAAGTATTTGGGTTGTATGTTTCAATACAGAATCTGAAAGATAGTTGCTGGAAGCCTCTTAATTGTCTCACAAATATTTTAAACTTTAG